CCTGCTGCTGAATACATGAGCTGTGACACCAGCATGGTGCAGTGTCCTCCTGAGCTACATTCTTATCCAGAAACGATTAAGTCTAAAACCACCCTGGCTGAATGACAGGTAATTTAGGAGCGCTATAGGGTGGGCCTTTGTATGTGTCTATGCTGAATACAGTTGCTTGACTTCCGTTCATCTGGCAGCTTTCCAAGAGCAAACCACAATTTCAGTTATTCAGCCTATTTTGTTTTTACAACAGCATCTCAATACAGAAGTATTTAAAATAAAAATATACTGTATCTCTCCAAACAGTCCCCAGTTTTAAAAGAGACCATGGGCTTTCTTTCCCTCTGAGGAGCTGTAGATTTCTTAGAAAGAGATTTTTGCTATTTCTCGGAGGTGTTAAAATGCAGATCAGCCTATTTGAGGACAGCAAGGAGATTCAGCTCAGGTTTAAAGAGACTGGTCGCCCGATACTGTTCTCTCTGTCAGTCAGGGAAAAAACATATTATGCTTTCATACTCACGTGAAATTCATCCTGCCTATACTCGCGAGTAGATCAAAGATATTTGTTTCCATAGAATCAGAAAATATTGTAAAAGACCCTTGGTTTTCAAATCTTTATAAAGTCCCATGTGCTACCGTATAAAGCCCTTTGGCCCTTGCAAAACTCTTTCTTCAGTGATTGAAATTAGAGAAATAATGGTACACATCAACCCTGCTTAGAGGAAGAGTAGCATTTTCTAATCCATTTAACACAATCCTACAGGTAATTCTCTTGATGGCTTTTACTCCTTCTAGGTCTAACACACACCGAGACATTAAATACTCAGAATTCATCTGAAAGCGTATTTCTATTATCTCACCTTCCACCAGATTCAGCTTTGGAAAGAGTTTTGGGAAGACATTAACATATACCACATCTGGAGTGACGGTGCCCTCCAGAAGGCACCGATGTGCACGCGTGGCTAACGCTGACACGGCTCATCCCGCTACCCGAAACCTCACCTCCTAACCTGCACCTGGAGACAAGGGCCAGGCAACCTGGGTCATCTGGAACAACCTGTGCTTAAATGACGTGGCCACTAGATGTCATTCCTTTTTCACTCAAATGCAGGTTACAGACGTATTCACCTGGCAGGATAAGGTTCCCCCCACCCTGCAAACATTAGCAAGCTGGGGCACACGTACTGCTGTGGTGAAAAGTCCCACGGCCCAAGAGACACAAAACTCTAAGTCTGGCTGCTATAAATTTTCAAGACAGAACAATCCCATGCTGGCAGGAGAAAGGACCACACAGCCCAAGACTTGCATCAGATTTTTATGGCTCTTCACAACTGTATGTGTCATACTTAAGGAGACATTTAATGGCAACTTTACAATACAAAGCTCGGTGTATTCACTGTGGCAGATAGGAAGCACACGTGCTGCTGTTAAACCCACCCTGTACTCGCTGGAGCAGCAATGCAGGCTGCAGATTGACGCCCAGATCTGAAAACATGTTGGCTGCCCATTTTTCTCCGATTCAGGAGGAATTTAGTGCCTTCCTTTTTCTGAGAATCTAGGTCCGAGTCACTTTGTCAGAAAATGGTGGCACTGCTCGGGACCTGATCACATCACATGCACGAGCCTGGGTCCCGACGGCGATGGGAGGGAAGGACCCAGGCTCCATAGCTGGCGTGGAGCCGATCGGGGTCCACGGTGGCATAAATTGGGCTCTGCATGACTTCCTTGAGTTCTGCTACATACTTGTAGCTTGTAAGGGTGTAACTAAGAGGCAACTTTCATACTACATGACTAAATATTTACTTATCTCTTGAGACAGAATGAAAATTCAGAATAACATAAATAATAAAAACACTCCTCAAAGGATGTTCAGTGACTTGAGCACAATGCAGTTTGGCTTCCTGTATTTTTAAAGATTTGGTATCAGTTTAAGAAACATCATTTACTGCACTTGTTGACCCTCATATAAATACAGATGGTGGATACACAATGGTTTCTCATTTATTAGCATGTAGACCTCTGTGCTCCTCTGTGGCTTCTAAAATTACCACGCACATTTCAGATGCTCTGCGCCTATGGATTATGAAGGCTGGAAAGAACGAGACCACATCATTTCACCTTCCAACCCTGCATTTTTACCTTAACCAGCTCTAATAGTTTGTCATTTGGAATGTCTCTATTTTTTCCCTTCTTCCCCCAGTAACAGTGACTTGGAGCACAGGAGAACAGAACAGAGAAATACTGAAATGATATAAGAAAGATCTTTAACTGATTAAAACCAGATGTACTAAGGTATGTCTACATGTTTACTGCAGGCGCACACAAATACATCTGTTAGAGCTATCAGCGAAATACAAATTTTACCAGATACCTGTTACCATTTAGAGTATTTACTGCTTCCTTGAAATTGTATCCGAGCTACTAAACCCAAAATATCTCTTACTGCTCAGCATTTCACTCGTAAGTAATAACAACTCTGATATGTCTATAGCCAATTCTGTGAAACAACTGTATCCTCTTCGGTGCAATCAGACATAGTCTGTTTGCCACATTATTTCAGCTCCTTTAGTACCTGAGCAAAACTGGTTGCCAAATAGTTTTGCTAGTTCATGAATCATGCTTCTTTTCCTTTTTTCCTCCTTTTTTCCCCCCTGAAAGTCTTTGTTCCACGGTTATCTATCAAGTTCCTCCTATCTGCCAAACCAGCTGAGAGAGATGACGGATATAAACATCCATGAATTACAAACACGTTGTGTGTCCATGCATCACTGTGCTGATGTATCGATACTTACAGTGCTGGTAGTGAATTCGGGTGGGTTGTCATTCACATCCGTCACCGTAATGATCGCTGTTGCCGTGTTTGAGAGACCATAGTTAAGATTTCCTTCCATATCTGTGGCTTGAACAATGACGATATACTGCTGAACTTTCTGGAAAAAAAAGAAAAGAGAAGATGAGAAACAAAAATGCATCCTGTAAAATGCCTTGGTTTATTTTCCATGTACAAGTGCAATCTTAAGGCAGACTAAGAAGTTAATTGGATTCAAAATGTTAGTAAAAGACAGATAAAATTTTCTATCATGCTTTTGAAGGGATTTTTGCATAGATTGCAGGATATCACCTGTTTTATGGGAAAATAAAAATCTTATGGCAAAAATCCTTGGTTGAAACAGACATTTTTGCTAGTTTTTAAGCATTTTCGGCAACATTAGTTTCTGTCTTCTGAAAACCAGTAAAAATTTTCCTAATCTGTTTTCACTGAAAACATCACCAAGAACATTATACCCCCAAAACTGACAGCAACGTTGCCTGGCGGCCCTCCAGCTCGTTCTGCTCACACAGTTTGATGTCCACAAAGCATTTTGGTACTTAAAATACCCTCCATGTTTCAATCCTTAACACAATCTTGGTAAATAAGGAGAATTTAAGTCCAGTATGAAAAAAAAATATTCACTGCAATAAACAAAAATTCAGCAGAACTGATTTAAATTCCTGAGCACCGCAAACAACATGGCTCTTGCAGAAAAAGCCTTACAGAGCCAGCCATAAAAATCACACATTAAAGTTCTTTTAAAAGCTGTTGTATGTCAGTGCAACTGGAAAATAAACCTGAATAAAATAGGAGAGGGCATCTGATCTTGCACGTACGTACATCTCCCTGGGACGTCTCTTTACTTACGAATATCTGCCCGCACTGAGAAAAAACTCCTAATCTTTAAAACTGGCCTCAACAATAAATTTTCATTTGGATCTGCAGAATTTACTATTGATGTCTACACATGTCACGCTCCGGATACATGGAGCACTTTACAGGCAGGTATGAAAGCAAAGCTTCTCTCCTGCAACATGGGCAAAGTGATGCGCCGAGAACCAGGGAGGGATCCAGCTGAAATCGGTGTGACGTGGGGCAAAGCTCGACATTACGCCCCGTTCCTTAAGGTTTGAGGTGTAATTACAGACACGAGCTGGGACGCAAGGACCATGCGGCTCCAACGGCACATCGGAGAGCCCAAAGGGTGTGAAAACCGAACAGAGGCACCATGTCATGCAGGAAAAGCTTTGTGCAAAGCCAAGCGGAGGGACCTCAGCGGGAGGAGAGACCTGCCGCACGCTGGATTGCTCCTGCTCCGAGCACAGCTTAGATACTCGAGGGCTGCTCCGTTCATGTGCTGATGTTACAAGTGTGTGTAAAATGTCAAATGTCCTTTGAAATTTCAAAGGGCAAGAATTAGGTCAATTAGGTCTCTCTACTCCTACATAAACGTTCTTGAAGTGCTGTAACTGGCTTAATTCTCTAATTCTTCCGAGTCGCTAGAATAACAGAGATCTGAATTTTAGCTTTATCTTGATTCCAGGACTTTTAACTGACAGATATTAACCTGCTAAATTGACAAGATATCACACACAGGGATCCATCAGCACCTTGCAACTGGAATATATTATGGAAATGCACTTTCATTATCTCTTGCTACCTTGTGTAATAAAACATGAGGGAGAAACTATTGTTAGCCCTTGTTTTTCCTCATGCCAAAAGTTACCATTCATTACTCCATTTCTAAAGCACTGGGTAAGTGTAAGGTTGAAATGTCCTTATTAGTGAATAATTTCTATTTCATATTTAGCTTTTCCTTCCTTATTCTCGCTTATAGACAACTTGGGAGGCTGGCAGAAGCATTCCCCAACAGGCCAAATACTTGAGAGACAAATTAGGTTTAAATCATAGAAGGGGGGGGAAGATATTTTAAAAAATTGCGGCAATCAGATTCCACATAAATTAGAAAAACAGGTCGGACGCCCACATGAGAGACTCCATTTCAATAGTGCATTTAATGGCAAAGCCACCTCTAACGTTCCCCACTGCAGCGAGGCGGAGACATGGAATTCACAGCGTTTCCGATTTGATGGTGGAGCTGTCGCACGCTATTGTAAAAGCCTCAGTGCTTCGGCAGCGACTGCAGGAAAAAAAAAAAAATGTTCCTTCCTTTCCATCAGCCGAGAGGGCGATGAAACAGCCTCCGTCGGCGGGGGTGCTTCTTTCTTAACTTGGCATTTTTCTACTTTACCGTGCTTGCAGGCTGACCTCTTTGCAGCTGCTGGGCTCCCAGGTCACCCTCCCAGGTGTGCCCACCAGAGCAAGCCGGGACTGTCGCGGCAGCATGCCTCCAGCTAGGGCACGGCAAAGGCAGCTCCGCTTCCGCGTCAAAAGCAATCCTGAAACTCGTGACACCGTTATGCAAACTTGAATCTGAACTCCGAGAACAAACCGCAGACCTTGGGTAAGGTCACACTCTGTCTGCACAGCGCTTATTCATGCCGGGACCCAGCCTGCAAACCTCCCACTGCCTTCAGCTCCTTTCTAGCTCGCTTTATTCACTTCTTAACCAAAGCTTCCCCTGGAAAAATGAATCCTCTTGTACAAGAGGGGGTAAGGGACTAGAAAAATCTCATTTAAAAGTTTCGTTAACCTCACCATTTCACCGCTTATTAAATTATACATACTCCGATGACACACGCATGTGTGCGTGCGTATTCGCAGACCCCGTCTTATTAATCTCAGGTTTACAATAAAGTTTTTTTATTTAACAAAGCGCCTTTCACTGAGCATCGCAGCACAGCGTTAATAAAAAAACCCCCACAACCTCAGAACACTAAATTAAAGAAATTTAAAAGAAAGATTGTATCAATCAGATAATACAATACCAAAAATGAAAAAGCCCAGAATTTAGTAACGTACAAATGTACCAGCCACAAAGAGCTGGTGCATAAGGACGGGAAGGGGCGAAGGATGGCAAAGGAGCGCCGCACATGTGCAAGCAAGCACAGGGAGCCCAAGCCCAGTGAGAAAATGTGCGGAATCGTAACAGATCTCGAACGGATGGAGCGATCTGGTAGGATCGTCACAGGAATGCACGCGTTTGAGACGGGCGCTGTATCTCAGGATACCGGAGGCAGCTGCAGCAATCAGGGACATGCGAGAGGTGAGCGGCTGGTGGAAACTTAGAGACATCACCACAGTCGCACTGATTTCCACCAGCTGAAGACGTAACTACTGCATTTAGAGCAAAAGGGCAGTCTGACATGGAGAATGGCCTCGGTTTGTACGTGAAGTTGTACACAACACAGAGACCTGTAAATCACACAATAGAATCATAGAAACGTTTAGGTTGGAAAAGACCTTCAAGACCATCGAGTCCAACTGTAAACCTAACACTGCCAAGTCCACCAAACGGAAGTAGTCTGAGCTTTGTCAAACCTTCAGGCACTTGGTTGCCATCCATGTCCAGTACTGTCCGAAAGGCCCCAGCGTGGGCATATAAGGGTGGCGCTTTCAAGTACGTAGTTTTAGTTTATAACTAATTCAATCTTTAATGAGATTGGCCCCAGCAGATAACAAATTACTGATTTTTTGTTTTTCTGTAGCTAACCTTTTTGCTTTTGTGCATTAAGCTGATTTTATTGAACTATTCAATCAATTTCAATTTCAACATGTCCTTCCAATTTGTCACAACATCTCCAGGGGCATCTTAGTTTGTTGTCCTAATATTATTATTATTGTTGCGACTATTAAAAAAAAAAAGGCAGCCCCATGCCCTCAAGCACGAGAGACATTTTCTTGATGGCATTTTGATCATATGTAATAATTCTCATACTCTCTTTCTTTACAAAAATGACATTTTAAATAGCACAGGGCAGAAACTACAGCACAGAGGTAACACAAAATGGTCCTAACCCAGAGAAATTGAACAGTTACTATATGTTTGCTCTGATGGTGATGCTGTGGAACTAAAGAAATGAGCCCGTGCCCCAAGGGGGTCTAGACTAAAAACCCAGCCCCAGCGAAGTCTCTGGGAGGTCCAGTGGCCAGTATTTTTAATACATTTAACAAATCTTCATGCTAGAGGGAAGTAAATGTGCTGCTTCTACTTAAGCCAAGGAAAAAAACCCTCATCTTGATAAGTGCAGAGCTTTTAGTCTGACCTAAAAACTAAGAAGGGCTTTTGAAGGAAAAAATTATGAAGGAAAGAATAATTAAAGGAACTGTGGCAGATCTAATCTGTCTGCTTTTCTGTCAATCATCTGATACAGTGCTGCAAAGACATACATCAGCTACATTCCAGAAGATGGGAATTAGCTGAAGATATTGGTTAAGCTGGTTAATGGGAAGTTGATCAAGGGCTTGGTTACAAAGATAGCAGCGCCTTGTACAGGAAAAAGTTAACAGCTTGGAAGAAGGGTAACCTGACAATTAAATAACAGAAACAAGATGCGATTTAATAGCACAAAATACAAGATAATGCAGCAAGGGACCAATAATAAAACTTCTTCTAAAAGCTGGTTTATTGGACACGAGCAATGAGGACTGGCACCACATCCCACCAGCTCCCTGCCACCGAGCAAGACACAAACGCCGTCGGCAAATGCATCGTGTGCGACATTAGCATTGCAGATACGGCAATATTAATTCCTTGTGCCAAGCACTGAGGGCTCATCGGGATGCTGTGCACAATCCAGGTCCCTTGTATTCACTGCTGAGCAACCCAGATCCGACCAGGTGCCGGCAGTGAAGAGCCCATCACTGGAGAAGAGCCTAGGAGAGCTTGGCTTGTTTAGTCTAGCAGAATGAAGCTGATAGCAGATATGACTGCTGTCTATAAATACATCAGGAGGATAAACACCAGGAAGGCAAAGGAGCAATTTAAACTAAAGGACAATGTTGACACAAGAACAAATGGGTATAAACTGGCCATGAATAAATTTAGGCTGGAAATTAGTAGGTCCTTCACCACTAAAGGAGTGAGATGCTGGAGCAATCTAATACAGGGTCTGGGGAACAAAAATGTTCAAAAGAACGTATTCAATTAGGGACAGAATCCTTTTGGTCTAGGTAGAAATTATGACAAATTGAGCTAGAGCAGAAGTCAGATCTCTC